CGCCGGGCGGCGGGAGGGACTTGTGGACGCGCTGGGAACTGGCCTCCCGCGGGCCAACCCGGTCCTCCCTCGGCGAAGGCAGGACTGGGAAGGCCCTGATTCCGGGGCGGCGGCCTCGCCGAGGAGCCTCCGAGTCGTGCTGTCAGGCCCCGGGACCGGGAAGTTGAGAGGGAGAGAAGCGCTCGCAGCCAGACTGCCCGGTCCTCCCCCAGTCCCCACCCCCAGCTCTCCCAGTGGTGGCGTGGCAGGCCCGGGACGGAAGTGGCCCCTGCCTTGTGCGGCTGCCCTTTTTTTCCAACTGGTGTTCGCTGAACACCTACTGGGTGCCAGGCGGGAGAGGAGGTCCTGGGGAAAGAGCGGTTGACAGAGGAGGCTTCTGCCCTTCCCCTGCTAAAAGAGGGGATCAGAAAAGACAGGCTCCTACAGCCAGAAAATGCTCCCAAAGAAAGAAAAGTGTAAGAGAGAGGGAGGAGGTGATGGTGATGGTCCTTTATGAAGCCCCGGGTCGCCGAGGCTGGCATTGGGTCTGAGACAGTAAAGAGTCTGGAATAATAACCATAGTTTATGCAAAGGGCTTCCTGTGTGCTATAGTCGCGGTCACCCAGCTCCCTTTAACGCTAAGAGATGGGTATGATTATTCTCCCCGTGTTTCAAATGAGGAAACTGGGCTCAGCCTGGTTCAGCTGCTTGCCCAAGGTCACACAGCCTTTGCAGAGCTGTGTCTGGAACCCAAGCAATTTGGTTCCAGCAGGGAATGTCCCTTCTCCATCTGCTGGGACTTCATCTGAGTCCTTTGTGAGGGCCTACACTGCAACTTCAGTTCTGGGAAGCCTGTGTAACTTCACTGCAGGGGGTACTCCCAACAGTAACTCGGATTTATTTGAATAATCATCTTTATTTAATCATATTCATTGTGCCTTCCTAACCCCCAGAAGGAGAGTGAGGGTAAATGCATTAAAGAATAACGGAACCCAGCCGTGATCTGGATAGGTGGCTCTGGGATTAGGTCCAAGAAATTCTGTGTTGAGTCACTTAATGCTGAGCAGATCTGCTTTCAAATTTCTTCTTCTCTACTCTTAGCTAGGAGATCATCGTTCATTAGCCAGAATTCATGAAGTTGCAAGTACTGAAACAGAACTGGCTTAAGTGGGGGGGAAAAGCATCATGTTAATGGGTAAGTCCACAGGGAATCTCTTTCAGGTATAGGTTGATCTAGGTGCCGCCATGTTCCAAGTTCTTGTTTTCTCTCCACCACTTAGCTCTGTTTCTTCTACGAGGATTGTGCTCTCTGGCAGTTCCTCTCCAGATGCTCTGCTACTGCACTCTCACATTTTTCTTAGTGCAGAGGAAAACAGAGCTGGGCTTTCCTGAAAATTATAGCAAGTGTCATGCCTGGGGATAATCGCCTCGGATCAATGTGAAAAGCAACCAAGCAAGAAATGCACTGCTTTCCCTTGCATGCCTGTGCCCTTACCCTTTCCAATTCTCTGCGGAAGCCCTAACCCCCAAGGTGACTGTATTTAGAGTCAGGGCTTTTAGGAGTTAATTTGGTTTAAATGAGGGTAAACAGATTCCAAATCTGCTAAGGTTGGTGGCCTTAAAAGAATAAGGAGGGACTGATCTCTCTGCACATGCACTCTCCAAGGAAAGGTGAGAGGACATAGCAAGACCTGGCCACCTACAAACCAGGAAATGAACCTTCCCCCAAGCCAAACCTCACCAGACCTTGACCTTGGATTTCCCAGCCTCCAAGAGCTGTGAGGAGATAAGTTTCTGATGTGTAAGCCACTCGGTCTGTGATATTTGTTATGACAACCCGAGCTAACTAATGCAGTTGGGTACCAAACCCTGGAACCAGGACATGGGGTCAGTCCTGCCTACACTGTGGGTGGGGACTTTGGAGAAGGGTGTCCCCCAAAGACAGTCGTGGTGCTAAGGCTGGGAGGACGAGGGTAGGATTCGGGGGCATTGTGAAGAGAACAGGGTCACCTCATTTGGTTAAGCCCTAACCTTTCTTTGCTCTGACCTCCCCGTCTATAAAGTGGGTGTGACATTAACAGTGATTAATTTTTTTCCTTTGCAGATAAGGTGGCAGGCCACCTCCAACCGTACAAATAAGGGCAAGACTCTAGATCAGAGGCCGGTAGACACTTTTTTATAAAGAGCCACGGGATAAAATTTTTAGGTTTGTGGGACAGATGCGCTCATTAGGAATCCTCCCGTCTGCTTGGGTGGCCCACAAGGGCACACTTCCAGTGACCCACCTCCTCTAGCCACACCCTACCTGCCTACTTGGTGGATTAATCCACGGATTGTGACAGCTCTCAATAATCTAATCATCTCACCTCGAAACGTTCTTGCACTGCCTCACGCATGAGTTTTGGGGGGGACACCTCCTATCTAATCCATAAGCCCAGTCATTAAATTTAGGGCCCACCCTAATCCAATATGACTTCACCTTAACTTGGTCACCTCTGCAAAGACCCTATTTCCAAATAAGGTCACAGGCATGAACACCAGGAGTCAGAACTTGAGCATATTTGGGGGGTGGGGGGACGGACACAATTCAACCCATTATCGTGACTGCAGATAATACACAAATGAGCGTCAGGGCTGTTCCAATAAAATTCATGGACGTTGCAGTTTGAATTCCATAACATTTTCATGTGTCATGGAATATACTTCTTTTATCATGCTCAGCAGAGTAAGCCAATCCCCCCAAACCAAAGGCTGAATGTTCTCTGATAAGTGGGTGCTGATCCATAATGGGGGGGTGACATGGGAAGAATGGGGGAGCTTTGATTGGGCAAACAGGAGAGGAGGGGGTAGGGGGCAGGAAAGATGGTGGAATGAGACGGACATCGTTACCCTAGGTACATGTAGGACTGCACATATTGGGCGACTCCACATCGTGTACGACCAGAGAAAAGAAAAGTTGGGCTCTGTTTGTGTACGATGAATCAAAATGCATTCTACTGTCACATCGACCTAATTAGAATAAACAAACAAGCAAATAAATAATTCAAAATATAGAAACCATTTTCAGATTAAGAGTCGTACAAACACAGACGCCAGATTTCTTCCTGTCGTCCGTAGATTCCAACTCCTGCCCTAGAACAGGGGACAAGAGTGGCAGAGCGGGAACTTGAACCCCCAGCACCGTCGAGCTGGCAGATCACAGTGGACCACCAGCCCAAACCCAGATGTGAGAAATAGACTTCTCCTTTGTTCAGGCTAAAATAATAAATAAATAAGGAAAACAATAATGCATCTAAAATCAATAACTCTTGTTAGAAGAATCAGTGTGTGGGAAGATCAAATGAGCTAGTCTTAGCAGCTTCTGGCATCCAAGTTGCCACTTTAGGGAATCTTGGTTACACCTTTCAATGGAGCCATTTCCCACGCCTGCAGTGCAAGCCAACGTCATCCCTCACCTGCCTGTTTCAACCGTCTCCTGCGTGATCTCTCTGCTCACTCTTGACCCCAGAGTCTCTTCTTCATTTTTTTTCTTTTGTACTAGGGATTAAACCCAGAGGTACTTTACCACTGAGCTACATCCCCAGCCCTTTTTCTCTCTTAAGTCAGGGCCTCACTAAGTTGATTAGAACCTTTCTAAATTGCTGAGGTTGGCCTCCAACTTGTGATCCTCCTGCCTCAGCCTCCCCAGCCACTGGGATTACAGCCATGCACCACCAAAATGGGCTAGCCTCTTCTTTACACAGCGGCCAGAGGGGACCATGCAGCTTCTCTGTTCAAAAACCTGCCACACTTTCCATTAGCTCTGAGCAAAATCCACGGGTCTCCCCATTTGGCTGCTTAAGGCCCTGCATAAAATGGCCCTCTTCTCTTGCACCCTCCCCCTCCCTCTCTGCTACAGCCTCCCTGTGGCCTCAGGAACCCACGCTCTCACCTGCCTGTCCCCTTGCTGGACCCTTTGCCCATAGCTCCAACCCCCAAGGACTCATGGTCCACCCCCCTACTTCCTCACATCTCTCCACAAAAGCAGCTTATCCAACAGCCCTTCTCTGCCATAAAACAGCAGCCCGATACCCTGCTCCTACGCCCTGCTTTATTTTTCTTGCAGGCTTCTTTCACCTTCTGCCACATGATACCGTTGTCCCTCCTTGTCCACAAGTTCAACAACCATGCGCTGAAAATCGGTGGAAAAATAAGTAGCTGCCCCTGTACTGAACACATGCAAGCTCTTCTTGCTATTGATCCCAGAATAGTGCAGACCAACCATGGGCAACAGCGTTTACATTGTGTTAGGAATTAGGAGTGATCTCGAGGTGGCGGGAGGGGTGTGGAGGGTCTCCACGGCAGGGGCCTGAGCATCCTCCAGCCTCAGCATCCACAGGGATCCCTTACCCAATCCCGCCTTGGAAACCCGGGACCACTGTGTATCTG